CCAAGGTTAAGGGTTCGGATCCCCATACCAGTCAGCTGCCCCCCCCCCCCCCAAAAAAAAAAAAGTTTTGTAGTTTGATACAGATAAGTATGTTTAGGGATGAAATCTAGAGTTTCAGATTCTATTGCAGTTCTTTTTCAGTAACTCAGTTTGTTGAAAAAAGTATCGACAGTGTTATCTGACTGGCTGGGTTTAAGAGTAAATAAAGGAGGAGTCAAAATTGATTTCAAAAAGGTTTCAAGCCTTAGTTTTGAAAGAATGGTGTTACCATGAACAGAAATAAAGAATTTAAGAGTTGGTTTGGGACAGCAGGGGACATTAATGAATTTATTTTAAACATGTGTGTTTAAGGTACCTAGAACTCAGGAGCAAAGGTCATGGCTGGAGTTCTTGGTTTGGGAGTCTTCCCATTGATAATGACAGTGAATGTTGTAGGAGATCACTGGGAAAAGAGTATGTAGGGAGAATAGGGTTGAGTAGATTAATTTGGATGTTCTTTGTTAGGGAACAGGAAGAGGTAAAAAGAGACAGAAGTCTGACAGGTAAGGGGAAAGTGGGCTAATGTGCAACAAAGAAATCAAGGAGTAGAAAATTTCAAAGAAGCTATAGTTGCTGGTGTCAAAGGCTGTAGAAACGTCTATGGGATTGGAGGCTGAAGAAAAACTCACAGATGGTCATAAGTGGCTTTTGAGAAAATGGTTTCAGAAGTAGACTGGAAGTTGAAGCTAAATCGCATTGTTTTACTTTTTATGAGAGCAGCAACAGAATCTGGTTTTCTATAATAAATTGTGGCAGTGTACTAAAGACTTGTAATTATTTAATTCCTGGCCTCTAGGAGTGAACATTATATGTCAAATCTGCACATGTCCATATATTTGTAGGTCAAGTCCTCAAAGCCAAATGAAATTGGAATAAAAGATCTCTCATGCAAATGTGTGCATTCTCTCTCTCTCTCTCTCTCCCTCTCCCCCCCCCCTCCCTCCCTCTCTTCCTCCTTCATTGCAACCTGGCTAAGGGCTGAAGTTAGAAACATGGTACCTGTTAGCTCAACTCAAGCAATTTTTTTCTTCCTTACTAGCATAACAGTATAATCATTTTCACACTAAAGACCAGAGAAGATAGGAACCTTTAAGAGATCTAAGGCAGATTCTTTTCAGTTTAAGAAGACTATTTTCTTTCTCTTTTGTCTGTTTCTCTACCTACACCCCAGCTGTCTATACTCTATATGGAAAATATTTTTAAAAGATTAAGCAAGTTTTCCCACAGCTTAAACTCCAAGAAGGTAACTCAGAAACACTTAGGTTTAAGTTTCTAAAGATTTGGGGGAAAATAGAAATCTTCATTTTTGAGGTTAGGATAAAGTATTCTAAGTGAAGAGTATAGTGGGCTTAGTGTGTACTGCGTCAGGACTGCTTCAGGACTGACGGTTAGTCTTTACGCCTCCATTACCATAGGAGTTGGAGAATATACATAAGAGATGAATGAATATGAAATTATCAATCTCTTCTTTTTCTGTTGTCAGTATTCTTTGTAAATATGTGGAGACTATTACTTTGTTTCAGTGAAAACTAGGTGAATTACTTTTTGTCAAGCATATCTCTCCCTATTTCATAGCTTTATCCTCCAGATTGCCTTCCATGGCTATTCTGCCTGAAGCCTGTGAGCCATGCAGTGGTACACATAGTGTTCCTATATAGTGTCTGTTCTTATGTCTTTGTCATTGCTCCTGCTTGTAATACCTTCCCTCATCTTCTATCTTAATACTCGAATCTTATTTTTCTTTTAAGAAAATTTATAGAGCTTTCACTGAATTTATGTATTTCATTAATGGCTCCCTCTTCTGAGCTACTGTTATTTTATTTGTGCACTACTTGCTTGGTGCTTAGCTTATGCTAATTTGAATTTTTTTAAATGTTGGTAAAGCACATTAAAATTTACCATCTTAAACATTTTTAAGTGTACGGTTCAGCGTTGTATCTTTTAAGACTGAAGCTCTGTACCCAGTTAACAGCAACTTCCCATTTTCTCCTCCCTCCATTCCCTGGCAACCACCATTCTACTTTCTGTATCTGTGCATTTGGCTATTCTAGATCTTTCATATAAATAGAATCATACAGTATTTGTCTTTTTGTGACTAGCTTATTTTACTTGGAAAATAATGGCCTCACGTTTCATCCATGTCATAGCATGTATCAGAATTTCCTTCCTTTTTATTTTTTTTCCTTTTTGTCTTTTCTCGTGACTGGCAACGGATCGCAACCCTCAGTGTCGCGCCCGTACCGGACTGGGACCGGCAACGGGATCGCAACCCTTGGTGTTGCGCCCACACCTCGCTCAGCCAGTGAGCAGCCGGTCTGTATGTGGGATCCGAACCCTCGGCGGGAGCACCGCTGCGCTCCCAAGCGGCGCACTGTAGCAGTGCGCCACCGGGCCGGCCCAGAATTTCCTTCCTTTTTAAGTCTGAATAATATTTCATTGTGTGTATAGACCACATTTTATTTATCCATTTGTCTGTTGATAGGCATTTGTGTTGCTTCCACCTTTGGCTATTGTAAATAATGCTGCCATGAATATGGGTGTCTAATTTGTATTTTTTAATATCAGAAAAACATTTGGGAAAGCTTCAACAGAGAGTCTTCCTCTACCACAACAATGCTCCTGCTCATTCCTCTCACCAAACAAAGGCAATTTTGCAAGAGTTTCAATGGGAAATCATTAGGCATGCACCGTACAGTGCTGATTTGGCTCCTTCTGACTTCTTTTTGTTTCCTTATCTTAAAAAATCTTTAAAGGGCACCCATTTTTCTTCAGTTACTGATGTAAAAAAAGACTGAATTGACCTGGTTAAATTCCCAGGACCTTCAGTTCTTTAGTGATGGACTTAATGGCTGGGATCATCACTCATAAAAGTGTCTTGAACTTGATTGAGATTATGTTGAGAAACAAAGTTTAATGTTTCTTACTTTTATCTTTTAATTCCCTTTTTCCATGAACTGTTTGAAGATCCCTCCTATGTGTATTTCAGTCTAAGCTTTGGAGGGCAGACTGTTTTTTAATCCTTTTGAATCCTAAGTGCCTCGCATAGCATTATGCCTTGTTAATTAACAATGCTTAGTAATTGTTTCTTGATGATTAGTAGAGCAGATTTACTTTCATTTAACTCTTTTTGATTATTTTTAATTCTTTGGGAGTAACTAAATAGTCTTTCAATCATAAGTTAGAAGAAGGCAAACCTAAACTTTTCTTCAAA